GCGGTGGGCCGGTAGCCGGGGAGGCCGCAGGGCTCCCTTCCCCTCGGCGCCGGGGCCGCCCTCGGAGCGGCCCTAACAGCTCCAGACCGAAGCCAAACCCCTGCTCTGCAGGAGCTGGCTCCTTCTGGGCACCCCCCCCTGCTCCGTGCCCCATTTCAAAGCACTGCGGACCCTTCTCCACCTCCCACTCACGCAGCGCAGCCCTGGGGTTGGACCCACACCGCCATCGAGCAGCACTTTCCTCCTTGCCCACACCACCACCACCACCATGGCACCTCCTCGCCCGCTCTGCCGCTGCCTCTCTTCCACCGCCCTGGCTCCAGCTGCCTCAGCCCGTGTGGTTTGGCACGAGTGAATATACCAGCAAACTACCACACAGGTGACGTGCACTCCTGCCCTCAGTCCGTTACAACCTGGTGTATTTCCATGCTGAATACTTCAGCGTAAGGCCAGGGTTTGGACAGACCCGCTCAACCGGGCACTGATGCCAGAGGAGACCCCTAGGTTCAGGTTAGATAACGCCCAGTGCCCACTCACTGCAGTTTGCTTTTCACCACGTTAAACCACAGAATACCCAGAACTGGCTCCCAAATACACGTTAACAAAGCACCAGCTTTACTGGTCCTGACAGTCTCTTCATAAAATTCCCCAATAGGTCTCTGTCTTTTTTTCTCTCCTTCGAAAGATCTCATCTCCTAACTTACTTAGAGATTGCTTCCTTAGACGTTGCATTAGTCTTTCCAAGCAGAGCAATTATGCAGCTACAGCTGGGCCTTTTATTTTTTGAAGCTGGATGTTTTAATGCATCTTTGCATTTCACCCTTGATGCACACTTCTCTCCTGTAAATATTACAGCGATGTTTGTCGCGGTTACTGGAGATGATGCTGCATCTCCATCCTCCTGTAAGGGTTATTTCAGTGTTATCATTCCGCAGATTTACTGAAACGGCAGCAAAACCTGGGATGCAAGATCCTCCAATGCAAGTGAAATTCACCATGGTGAAAAAAATGTGACTCTAATATTAGCATATATTTAAAATATTAAAAGTGATGTGGTGTCTTTGGAAAATGCTTAGTATACAAAGTGCTGTGTAGAACACATTGAGTTTAATGGTTTGAAAGACCAATACAAGAAACAGCCAAGTTTTTTAACAGCTATATGATTTTCATTAATCTAAATTTAGACTTACTTTAGCACTGTTTCAAACACATTTCCTCAATTACTCTTACAAAAGTTTGTGAAATACCACATTAAAACTTAGTCCAAATTAATTTACAAAACAGAATTAAAATAAAACATGTTATTAAACATTAGCCCAAAGGCATTGGGACCAATCTTGGCAGTACACATGCAGCCTTCCCAAAAGCGTCGCCGAATCCATGCAGATTACTGCCTACAGAGTGGAGTGCACACTGCAAAATTAGACTGCTATTTTAACAGACATCCATAGTCCATTTCTAGGTATATTTGCACAGTTTAAGATTAAAGAACTGCAAACATGGTACGAAATCAACTTCACTCAGCAGAAACAAGAAAACAAAAATTGCATTTAAGTGTCTTTAACTTGTCCGTGTAATTTGTGTGTAAGAAAGGAACACTTACTTCAAAAGTGGTGTAACAAACACTAACATCCCTGCACTTGGGAGATTAAGTTACAAATTTAGTATTTTTATGGAGAACATTTATTCTGAAAGGCAGATGGATTGATCCATAAGTGCTTGCCCTCCCCACACAAACAGCTGCGCACTTATCTAAAAGAAGCTACAACATAACTTTAAGAAGTTTGGAATCCTGCGCTTCTGAGGATATTTTCCAGCTGGGGTTTCCCTACCTCCTGCCTGCTACCTAAACCTGTGTTTAAAGGTCAGAAACCTTCTCCTTAGTCCCTTCCAAAGCCACATTAAATTACAGAAAGGTTTCCATTTTCTGAAAACTACCTGTTGCAGAGTAATCTTGGCAACAGCAATAAGCAGCCGGATGCCTGGGTACAGGACACATTTCCAGAGGAGGCAAGAGCGGCAGTAGGGTGCACGGGGCTGGCACGAGGCGGGCTTCGGGCTCTGTCGCTGACTTGGTCGTGACACTGTGTCTGTCTGCTGCTTTCTCTCATTTGCTTTACTTTACCAGCTGTAAAATGCGTACCTCAGACATGTTAGACAGCTAAATTAAAAGCCAGATTCAAGAAAACGACTCCCATCGTTTTCCTCTTGCTCTTAGAAAGAGCAGTGTTAAGGTAAGTACAATCACCCTTTGTAAAAAGAATTTGTTCTCATGCGATGACACCAGAGTTAGCCAAGAGAAATACTCCAACAGATTAGATACCACCTTATCGCCACTCTATTTTCAGTAGAGGTAGTCTTTGTTGAAAGAGTTTAAGCCATGATTCAAGAGATCTCTAAACCAAATTGCAGAACTCCTCCATCC